TAAACTGAATGGGTTAATCCAGACAAAAGATTTTATGATGGACAGTGGGCATCTTCAGTGCATTATGCTGGCTCAAGCGGTAAAGAGTTTCAAGATTCGGATTAAACTACATTCGGGAACGAATCTAATTCAGTATAGTGACATATGGATGTGCTTGACACAATACCATAACCAACAATCATCTATTCGGCAAAATGATAAACTTCCCCTCCTTTGATGGTTGGTCAAGGTCTGTTCAAGGAAACGGTGTGCACCGATGTTGCTTACTCGGCTGAAGTCAAACATCATGATTAACGATCAAGCAATTGTCGTACCCCTGCGACAAGCCGCAACGATGAATATTCAGTACACATGATTTGCAATGAATTCAGTAGCCAAAAAAATGCCGAACCAGAGCAGTTCGACTTAGGATGGAGAAGCACAGTATTCAGCAAAAGTAACGGGATTGTGCTCAGTTAAGAGTTCAAATGTGACAGAGACATGAACTTGTAGTGCCGCGACGGAACTAAGAATGCGCAAACTTACCGCCGTATGAAGTCATGGTCTGTGGGGTGAAACTCCCAATGATTCGCGAGGCCCTTCTGAGTACCGGTCATCTTCCGGGCCAAGAGATTGAGTATTTCTGTAGCTTCCAGAGCGGGCAACTAAACAAAAAAATATAGCCAGATATCTGAACTAAACAGTTTGTTGAGTAAATGGGGAACTGAAATGTGACATTTTTATTGAACATGAAGGAGAGAGGATCCGACCAACACTTATGAGGATTCATTGTTTGGCAATGGAAATCGAGAGCTTAGGCCAGTTAAACAAGATTGTAAAACAGATGTCAGTGTGGCTATCTGTGACCGGCACACAACATTTAAAACGACTGCATACAAGTGACATAAAGTGTTAAAGAGAGAAGTTCTGAAGTCACAAAACAAAACCAGATTATATGAGATTGTCGAAAGAGTAAGAGAGAGGGAAAAGTAGAAGAAAATCTCCCTTAGAAACCTTTATTGCATACAAGTTGCCGAAACAATACAACGGAGGAAAAAATTTGGTTTTAATCGGGGCCCAGTTGGCAACCATATCATTATTCGCTTCAGTGCATCCACGTGATTTTTTGTTTATCTGCTACGCTGATGCACGCACGGATGTTGGTCCGCATAGGCGGGTGCCCTTGAAAGACTGTTCTCCCGTAAAACGGACTTTCACGTTAGCCCAGGTGAATCGGGTGACGTCCTGGACTTTATTCTTCTCATTGTGCATTACGTAACAGGAATCGATGAAAAGTTTCATATGGGACAGAGTGGTAACTGCACCCACAACAAGAAGTAGATATATCGAGAAACACACNAACACACAAGCCAGGACAGATTAATTTGTCAGTCTGTGAGGACTGTATTCGCACGACTGGACCAAACGGTTCCGGTCAGCAATCGCGTCTTTTTTGGCAACAGTGAGGTTCATACCATCGTAAAGTGGACTCATTCACCCTGGAAACAAATTGCGTTATAAAGTTTACCCCCAAATTTACTCTGGATTTGACTGTTTCGCATTTAATTTGAGTTGAGAATATGTGTGAATGTATAAAACAGGCGCTTCACATACTCTTTTGATCGTCACTTGATTGCATAAAAAATGACATTTGTGGGATTGATACGGGTTTGACTGCTGTGATGAGACCAAATGGTTCCGGTCAGGAATCACATTCGTACATCAGAGAATATGAACAAGTGATGCTAATCTTCACACACACAGACAAACAAACAAACACATCATTGCTAATCTATTTCTACTTGGTGGATGTGAGAGTTTCATGCCATCGAAAAACCCGTGGATGACTAACGAGTGCACATGTGGAACACAGGTACACACACAAATTGCACACTGTTCTCAGGTCTGACCGCATTTGAGCGAAACATCAGGTACGAGAAAATATTACCACGCAGTCACTAAGAACGCACTCAGTCACGCAAGGACTGACTCAGTAGCCCGGTGATTGTTTGCTAACAAAAACACCACTAGTTCGTAATGAAAATTCAGTACATGTTCACGCTTATTGTCACAAGACGGGATGAGGTTGCATGGTGCAATATGGAGACGTTAGTGAAAAAAAAACGAACAATAAGAAAACCAGAGCGTGTCATATTGATCGGTCACAGGAATCCGAAAAATTGAACAAATGTGGTCACAGCTGTTAATATGATTTCATCATCATTGGGTTGCAGCCCCGATAAAACTTTAAATGTCACAGGAGGGTTCACGCTCGATAAGCAAATTTCGGTTTTAAGCTCGCTATCTTTGCAAAATCACTAGTGATCAATCGCACAGAACCGCGCCCATGGAATAATATCCGCACAACGGTGTCAACTGGACTGAAAATGTAGCCAGAAAAACCGAACATAAAGAATCAACTCTTCTTATTCGGTTGGAATAACAAGTTCGGGCACTTCATAAGAGACTAAATGTCAGGGACGTACAAGCTCTCATTGAAGTAGTAGCAAATATTCAGCCAGGAACGTGCATATTTCATGAAGGCGGAAGGAGCTACTCACCTTGGTCATGGAGGATATAGTTTTGCGTGTTAGATGTTCACCACGGTAGAATACCGCCATCTGAATAGGGAGGGAAGATGCACAGTTGAACACAGTTGTCGAAAAAAGGAAGGACTAACAGACAGGTTTCTTAAGACGGAGATACCGATCTAAACCGGAGAAGAGCGCAAGGAACGGTTTCTGAGCAGACTGCAAAAACTGTGGGCAGTGTGTGAATAGGAAAAGGTAACGATTTTCAGCCATTCATCACAAAGTGGACTAACTAACTCTGCAGACAGATTGCGTTATAAAGTTTACCCCCAAATTTACTCTAGATTTGAGTGTTAGACATTGGAAAAGAATTCAATTTAACTTGAGTTGAGTTGAGAATATGCGTAAATGTATAAAATAGGCGCTCGACATCATCATCAATGTACAGTGCAATACAGTGAAGCGAACTTCACTGATCGCTGTCAAACTCATAATGCGTACAAGATAAGTGAGAATCTGTAAGGAGGACAGGGATTGGGCCTGTTTTTAGGGACGGGAGAAAGCGAACCTCCATGGTCAACACACAGAGTACACAATTCAACTGTGCATACATACAATTTCAAGCATTCTGGTCTGATAAGAAGTGACAGCATGATCGCCATTGCTGTCGGTTTACAGTCATGATCTTCAGTGTCTAACCATGCGGTTTCGGAGTCTTTTGGACCCCAACCCGGAAGACGAGAGACACCTACTCTACCTAATCGCTCTGTGCATTTCTTTATGCCTCGTCTCCACGTCATCTGCTGGCCTCCACGTGGCTTTCTCGAACCTGTAACAGCAAACTGCAAACAAGGCGCGCTGCGGTAGGCGACCGTCGAACATACACAAAACGTGTCCTAACCAACGGAGCCTACTGAGCTGGATTCGATGAGATAGCCAGTTCTTGTTTGATGTATTCTCAAACACCCGACGACTTACCTCTAAGTCACTAACCCGTTTACTCCATCCAACCTGGGCCAGACTACGTAAGCATCGATTGTCGAACACTGCTAAACGACAGGTGTCTTCTACCCGTAAATTCAAGGTCTCACAACCGTAAAGTAGAACTGATCGTACAGTGGCGCAGTATACGCGACTTTTCAACTATAGTGAAACGTCATGTCGCCCAGCTTGACAGACTCTTTTGATCGTCAATTGATCGCATAAGAAATGATATTTGTGGAATTGATATGGGCGTGCCCGTTATGAAAAGAAGTGTGACTATGGTTCGATATAGGCAGACGTTTTAGATAAATTCGATATGCACATGTTGATGTGACTAAAACCTTTTAGAAACACAATGTAGCCATTTGATCATTGTGAAGAATTATCACGGAGAATGTGAAGCATAAATGTTGAAGACAAGTCTGGTTAATATTGAACTCAGTTCTCTGGACGTTCGCCGTCCTAGGGTTACGACTGCAAGTCCTCAAGTTGAGACCTGTTCTGTCCGGAACGAGATCTATATCGATACAAATCTTCCACTAATGCCCTGGAAGGTATACTCTCGAGAACAGAGTATCACTACGTTGTTGTTGAAACAGCTCCGAGTACTGAATACCATCTGAACTTGGATGGTTTGTGTTAAGTTTAAACAACGTGGATCGCAAATTTCGCAAATTGTTTAGGTGCGTCTGGGTCAGGACTAAGAGTGTAGGACAGTCCAGAAGTGTGAAACAAGCCCGAAAGGTCTTTGATCACACGACAGCCTATCGGGGATGTACTTTCTAGGTCGCCGAATTCGCATTAGTAGGCTTCACCGGTTAAGGCATCTATGTATGTGTATGCCCAGCTGTTATTTGCCGCGCTACGCTTTATTTGCTGTTGCCTCTCCGGGTTGGGGGAAACCACGTGGAGGTCAACAGATGACGTGGGAACAAGGCACGAAGAAATGCATAGAGCATAGAGTGGGTGTCTCGTGCCTTCCAGGTTGGGGCCCGAAAGACTCTACAACCGGTTGGTTGGAGACATTGAAGGATATGGCAACTAACCAACAGTAGTGGCGTTCTTGTTGTTTATTATCAGGTCAGAATGCTTGAAACGGTATAGGTGCATAGTTAAATTGTGTACTGTGTGTTGAGCACAGAGGTTAATTTTCTCTCCTGCCCCTCCTCCAAATGGGTCTAATCTCTGTCCATTTCACATATTACTACTAACTTTGTATGAACTGAGAGTTTGGCAGCAATCATTAAAGTTCGCTTCACTGTATTTCACTGCACGACGACGATGATGATGAATGGATGGTGGTTTTCACAAACCAAAGTCAAAGTTTTATTATGGGTATTACTTACAAGCAGATGCTTTTCTTGTCCCATAGGGTGTTAAAACGAGTTGAACTGTTACAGTGATGAACAAAATTCCATATGCTGCATTTGGTTGTGTTTTGTGTTCTCATGGATATTGGAATACAAGGTTTGTTAATGATTCGTCAAGTTTTACCCTGAAAGAATCAATCGACTCGGCACATACAACATGAGCTGGTAGGGAATTCCAGGCAGTGCACACTCTGACGGCAAAGGAATGACGTCGGCAGTCCAGTCGAGATTTTTGGAGTACCAACTTGAATGGATGCCCCCGTAGATGATCGTTTGATGACAACGTCAGAAGTCGGTGACAAGGGTGGTTTGGGCAGTGTAATATTTGGTACACCAAAATCAAGTCTCCTTGAATCCGGCGATACTGAGCAGAGTATAGATCCAACGACTGCATTCTCCCCATGTATGAATCATGATAGAGTCCTTTGACCATCTTCGTGGCGAGCCTTTGTGGACGTTCCAAAATCTTATAATCACGTCGTAA